AAAAAAAAAAAAAAAAAAAAAGCGGGCTGGCGGGCTACCCCGCCCCGCGGGCTTGGCGGGACGGGCAAAAAAGCCCGTTTTTAAAACGGGCTTCAAAAACATAAGCCCACCCACCCTTTTGGCGGGCGGGGCAGGAAAGCCCGGCGGGCTAAGCCCATTTTGACGGCTCTAGTTACTGGTGGTAGCATAGACAATTATTATGTTGTGGAACCGTGTCCACCTGGCAAGAGGGACACGGTTCTATGTTCATAATTACTGAAATATATGTTCATAATTATAAAGTTATATATTCATAATTTTTTAACTTCATATTCATAATTATTCAACTCTGTATTCACAATTACAGAACTTTATGTTCATAATTACTGAATTATATGTTCATAATTATAAAGCTATATATTCATAATTTTTTAACTTCATATTTACAATTATTGAATCTCTATTTTCATAATTATAGAACTATAAGTTCATAATTATGTTCACAACTCTATGTTCATAATTATAAAACTATATGTTCATAATTTTTGAACTATATATTCATAATTATGAACAGTTTTGGAACCGTGTCCACCTTGCAAGGTGAACACGGTTCCACAACATAATTTGCCTAGCATAGAGGGATACATTCATACATCATATCGTGCAATGAGATTATAGTGCAGAAAGCTTTAGATTTGTCTTGCTGTGTATATGACTGTGATCTTAGTTGTACTATAAACTCTTTATCTTACCAGCACCTATTGATATTTGCTAGTAGTAGTTTTTCCCTACATGTTTCATGTGTTGTGAGATATGCATCGTTGGTTATAATGTGAAAGTATTGAACAAAATATTAATATTGATTATATTTGTATAAAATACTTGGTAAATAATTAATATATATAACATATTTTGTATTATAACTTTGATATTTTTTTTTTTTGAAAGTTACTAGCTCTATTACATTGTAGTATCTGTTCATATACTTTCTCAACCTACTGAAACACAAAGAACCAATAACGCCTCCACTGAGGCTTGAACTCATAATCTTCCAATTGGAAGTCCAACCCGGATACCATTAGACCACGTAGTCCTGGTATAACTTTGATATTTAATTACAAGATAATGTAAAAAAAGACAATGGACAATGTAGTGAATATAATGAATTAATAAATTTGAAGGTAATGAATCTTTGAACTGTAGAAAATAAAGATAATATAACTAATGAAATTATATCTCTTTTTAAATTTTTTATAATGAATATTTTTTTTAAATAAAGGCATTATAGACACCTAATTCTAAATTAATTAAATGCATATGTATTATTTTTTGTTGTATCTGCTAATTTATTTAATTTAATAAGAGTAATAAAGTGGTGTACATACATTTCATCAACAATAGTGAAATCATTGATTTTTTTAATTTCTATTCGTTGTTGTGACAAATTGTTTTGAGAGTTTGTTATGACAATTGCTACAATTGCTAATAAATAATTCAAAATATATGGTCACAATAGATATTGTTATAATGATATAGTAAACGTTTAATTAACTTATAAATTTCTTTAGAATTTTTCATGCATTGATAATATTCTGATGTGTAAACTTATTCAATTGGGGTCAATGAGATGTCAACATTGTCAATTCTTTGAAAAATGGTCGTACCGTTTTAGAGTCCAAGGGTAATTGTATTTATGATCAAACAACTTTGTAGTTAGATCGCACAGGTCTGACGATTATGTGAGAACAATTTTGTTTGATAAAAAAAATAGTAGTATAATATTTATAAAGTAATGTACAATTGTACCATTATAAAAATATATACAAAAAATATTAATACTATAATGACCTAAATCATTCCAATAATGCAAAAACATAATTGAAATATTAAGTTTTGTTCTAAATAATCAAAAGAAGATTAATTAAACGAAAAAAAATTTTGACCTAAATTTGTTTTTTTTTTTTTTTTAAATGCAAGAAAATCAAATGACTTTTAAAGTTTCTGATTTATAATCTTTGATGCTCAACTTTGAATGCTATGTATTTAGTCGGGCTTATTATTTGACCAAAGTTTATGTTAAATTTTATATATATATATATATATATATATATATATATATATATATATATATATATATATATATATATATATATATATATATATATAGGGGAGTTCACATGCGGCCGTGTTGTTAGGTGCGGCCGTGCGGCTAACTACAACCCATTAGATTAGATAGATCCAATGAATCATATTGATCAAAAATCTTCTAATATTTTCGCGCACGTTCTCCTACCAAGCGAACTACAAGGGTAAACTCGTCATAGGGCACCAGAATAGGGAAAATCACATTGTTGTGTGTTTTATTTGTGTAATTGGTGCATTATTAGCCTTACTCTGGTGTATTTGTAGATTCCCGTTGGTGCCAAGTTCAGGTGCGGCAGCCCTTTCCCGTGCAGTCAGTGCGGCCGCACCAATAGTTATACAAATATACACCATCCATGTTATGAAAGCCCCACACAGTGTTCAGAAATACACCATTTGGGGTGGAGAGTTATATGATGTATTTTTTGGGGTGTGTTGTGTGTTTTTGTGTATTTGTACATTTCATCGTTGTGCTTTTTCCTAACACTATTGGTGCCTTTTGTTAACATTTTTGGTATATTTTGTCAATTTACCGCTATAAATGGCCACTATAATTACCATAACACCCCCAACTTACCAAAACGCGCTTAAATCTTCAAATCTTCAGTAATTAGCCACTGCCGTGATATTTGTACAACATTTGGAAGATGTTATGTTGCTCTCCGTAATCCATAGGCTACAAACAACCAACAGATACATATGTGTTTGGCGGAAGCGGTAAAGGCTAAGTCTAAGCACTTAGTGAGGGATTGCCGGACGGAGGCTGGTAAAGGCTTAAACGGTCAAGTCCAGCACCCAACGTCTCGAAAATATGTGGCGAACTATAAAGAAATAAAGTTACGCCTTCGCTACAAGTTATAGTTTGTGGCGTAGTGGTAAGCGCTTGATTCTAACAAGTGGTATCAGAGTAAGTCCCAACAATACTAGTTGGTGTTGGGAGGGGGGATCAGCACCTAGTATATATCTACTATACTAATAATAGCCCAAGAGAGTTAGGCCTATAATTGGTAGAAAAAATGGCGGTCACAGATTTTAATCAAATGAATGGCTCAGATTGATTAAAAGATTTATAAGATTTAAATTTTACACTAAAATTTCCTAAAATACCCACACACCATTACTAATTCCGTTAAAATTTTAAGAATTGCCGTTAGTTCACCGTTAACTTACTCATTGATTTCAATAAAAATAAAAAAAAATAAAAAAGTCTTAGGTTCAAACCTCATCCCAATCAAAGTTGGCATAATTAGTACTCTATTTTACTCTTATTAAATTATATAGATAATAATTTAGTAGCTACAACAAAAAATTATAGATATGCATTTCTTTAATTTAGAATTATGTGTCCACAATGCCTTTATTTAAAAAAAATTATTCATTATCAATAAATTAAATAAGAGAAATAATTGTATTAGTTATATTGTCTTTATTTTTCTACAATATAAAAATTCTTTATATTCAAATTTATTAATTGATTATATTCGCTACATTGTCCTTAAATGTCTTAATTCAGTAAAAAAAAAAAAATTATTCATTATCAATAAATTAATTAAGAGAAATATTTTCATTAGTTATATTGTCTTTATTTTTCTCAAATGTAAAAATTTTTACATTCAAATTCATCAATTGATTATATTCACTACATTGTCTATTATCTTTTTTGTGCACTATTTTTCTAATTAAATATCAAAGTTATAATACAAAATAATGCTATATATTTATTTACCAAGTATTTTATTAATACCATGAAAAAATTAAAAAAAATATAATTAATAAAGCCAACCATATTAACTACTTGAGAGATTTTGTGACAAAGATAGTATTCAAATCACACAACAAATTGAAGTGAGAACTACCTTGCAATGTCCTTGTTTGACAATCAGCAGTTAGCGGATTATATTAACGGATTTGACCAACGAATTTATTTAATTATTAACATTGGGTAGAAAAAATGACCGCCAAATTATTAAATCAAATGAATGATTCAAATTGTTCAGGTTTTAATTTTTTTTAAAGCTTTTCTAATTTATCCTTAATTATATGATTATCCATTTAACTTTTCCGTTAAATACCGTTAATTCATCGTTAGTCTAATTCTAATATTAACGTCTAATATAGAATTATAATTATACCATTAATCTAATTCTAATATTAAAGTCTTAATAGAACTTAACCACAAATCCTAATGTCAAAATCATCTCAAATAATATTAGTATATATTTAATATTTTATGCCCTAATTTTTATTTGTTCTCCCTTATGTCCCGTATTTGGTTTCAACCATACCTATACAATTATTTTATTGACAATTATAATCAATCTTGACTATATTATCTTGCATTTGTAAACTTAGAATTACCTATTTAACCCGCACGGGCTTAGCTCAATGGTTTAGTGGGCAGTATTTGGGAGAAGAGACCAAGGTTTGAACCTCGGCGGCGGCAGTGCGGGAATTATGTCCAAAGTGGGCAGCTTCCTTGTTCGCACCGGCATTTGGTCCTGTCTGCTGAACCATTGAGTCACCGTGATTTACAACTTCCCACAATGGTCAGAGTGTGGGGGGCCCTTGGGGTTGGGGACTCAACCTTTGGGAGAAAATTACCTATTTAAATACGCAAATTCACTTTCCACAATGTTCTGTCGGGTCAGAGTGTGGGGGGCCCTTGGGGTTGGGGACTCAACCTTTGGGAGAAAAATTACCTATTTAAATACGCAAATTCAACCTTCAATTATTTATGCATGAACAATTTCAATATAATCTTGCCTTAATATATTTTAAAGTATTTATTTAAAAAAAAAAAACATTGGGCATTATCCCAATCGCGAAATGCGCGTAAAAAAACTAGTATATATATATATATATATATATATATATATATATATATTTATGGTTGTCCTCAATGGCTACCTAGTACAAGGTGAAGCCATCATCATAGGAAACATGCCATCCGCGCCTACAAGGTGGGGCGTTTTCGTCGTACTCAGCACAACAGCTCCATCGCTTTTTCCAATTGTCTCTCCCGGTGTTTGGTCTGTTATCCTTCTCGTTCCATTTGTACACGATTACTCCAGATCGGTCAGTCCATTCCCCATCAATGCCTTGGTGTGGTGGGGCAAATGAAAATAACCCCTTTTCTCCTGCAAGCCGGAGAAACTTGTTAACTTCATGGAGTATCAAAGCTTTCAGCAAAAACAAAAAATTCACTGCAGAACGAACACAAGTTTAATAAATTGAAAAATAAACAAATACGAAATATTGACTTGAATAGATATTTATTCAACTATATTCACAATCGTTCTTGCCAAAACCCATCACCAAAAGGAAGTTTTTTTGTCAATCAAATCAACTTCTACTTAGCAACACCAAATTTCTCAAAATCAATTGTCCAAGCGCCCTCCACACTCCGACTAGATAGAGCGCATTTAGGAGAATGAGTCAAATGCTGCGGGACCTGTCCACCGGACATAATCTCCACATTGTGGCCCGCGGAGGTTCAAACCTTAGTTTCCTTATGGACCTACCCACCGGACATAATCTCCATATTGTGGCCCACCGAGATTCAAATCTTAGTCTCCTTTCTTAAATATTGCCTATTTAGCAGACCTAATCCAATGCTGGTGGGTACAAGGGAACATAATCTCCACATTGTGGCCCGCCGAAATTCAAATCTTAGTCTCCTTTCCTAAATTCTGCCTGTAAAGTTTAAATACAACTTCAAAACAGCAATCGTTATATCCTACACCACGGCGCACATAGCACTGTGCGCCGCGCGCCTCCCAAAACGACGTCGTTTTGGGGTCGTGTTGGGAGGCGCGGTAGGAAGTTGCTGAGATTATATGTATTCGTTCACAACGTTATGTGTATTCGTTCACAACGTTATGTGTATTGGTTCATACAGTTATGTGTATTTTTTATACAATTATGTACATTATTTTTATACAATTATGTACATCCGAATCAGAAAATTTGTGTGTATTATGTTAAGAGTTGATGTGTATTATGTTAAAAGTTTATGTTTATTATGTATTATGTTAAATTATGTGTATTATCTTTTAAAAAGAGTATGTATATTTTGTTATAACATTATGTGTATTCATGTATAACATTATGTGTATTCAAGTATAACATTATGTACATTCTTGAACAGCGGGTTTTTTTTTTAAAGAAAAGCCTACTGCCATTCACTGGGGCGGGAAATTTCAAAAAAAAAAATAATTAAAACGACGTCGTTTTGCATCTGGGCGTATAGTGCAATGTACGCCGTGGTGTAGGATATAAATTGCCTCAAAACAGTGAGGTCTAATAAAATTAATGGGATGAGAGAGTCTCAAACTCTCAACCTCAGGATCACTCTAAGCTATGAGACCTACGCACTAGCCAACTACGCCACCACCCCCCTTTGAGACCTCACTATCTTGAAGCTACCAAAAGGATTACCCACATTAAAGCCATTCCTTATTGCTTTATGCGTAGATTAATATCCTACACCAATTACCTAATGGAGCAATAACTCTTAAAATGAGGATGAAATCTTGAATAGCAGAAAATAAGGATTTCATTAGTCTCAGACAATTGAAGCTGAAATAATGATGCCTCCCATCAACTTCATTTGAAATCAGTAACAAGATTAAGGGAAAACCTAGTTCTAGATTTTGTTTCCAAGCATATACTAACATATAGTTAAGGAGAAACAAATTCATAAAATAGGCAACCAGAGAGTATGAACATTATGAACATTTCCACCACAACAGTATGAACATTCTATCTTCCAATTCCAAAATTATGCATTATCATCACCAAGCAGAATCAAGAACCAAGAAAGCATACCAGTGGTGTGGCCATGGAAAGAGCAAGCAACTGGGGAGTTATTCTTGTCATCAAAAACAGTGTTGCACCTCAAGCATCTCTTCTGGGCATTCCAAATTTGCAATCTTTGAGGCACTCTTTTACTAGTATTGATGTGTGGGGCTAGTCTTCTCATTTCAAGATTATGTGTCTTTCTCAAGAAAATTTGGGGTAGAGTGTAATTCATAGCCATAGCATTCAATCCTCTCAATTCTGATGTTTGAAGGATGCAGAAACTAGCGTTTCTGGTGCGCTTTGGTGCTTGTGGAAGGAAGTATTGAACCCCAAACGATGACGGATTGACGGGTATAGTAAATGTTTTTAATATTTGATAACGAGGCCAAATACTTTGAATAATTGCGGATAGACCTACCAACGTATATTCATTTACTTTTCATTCGCGAGCAAATGTCTAAATTAGAGTATCCCCCTTCACTTTTAGAATAAATGCCAAAGTTCCCTTTATTTTTAGAAATGGCCAAGCATCATGGACTAATAATAATCCTGCTATGAGGTATGTGAGTTAAACAAATTTATTTATATATATTTTTTGCAATTTTCTTTTAAAACCCAATTGGTAATAAGTAGGTGGACATTACCATTTAACTACATCTTTCTAAGGTAAGCCACAGTTTCATGACTCGAATCGAATAGGAACTGAACTCAGCCTATCCGGTCGACACCCAACAATGGTAGCTGCGCTATCTATTTCATATAAAATGGTAGTAGGATGAATGAGATAATAAATATTAGAGTTAATACCATCTAAGGTCTTTCGAGTATATTGGTTTTGCCACGTTTAGTCCTAAGCTTTCAAATTGACCATTTGTAGTCCTTCGACTTTCAAATTTAACTATTCGTGGTCCAAGTTCACCAGTCATTGTCCTTCAAGTTTCGAAATATAACCAGTCGCGGTCCTCTTGAAAGGACCATGGTTGGTTAAAATTTAATAATTGAAGGACCATGAGTGGTTAACTTGGATCATAAATGGTTAAATTTGAAAGTCGAAGGACCACAGATGGTCAATTTGAAAGTTTAAGACTAAACGTGGCAAAACCACTATACTCAGAGGACCTCAGATGGTATTAACTCTAAATATTATCTATGCATACATGTAGCCATCCAAAACATGCAACTCATAAAAAGCACTACAATGGATATTAAAATAACAACTCCAAAAAAAACTAACATAAAAAGAGTACTATCCATTCATTATTATTCATAGTTTTCAGCACAGTACAACACAAGTGCATAACTTAATATCCAATGTTTTTGTCCAAAAAGATGCTCATTCATAGTTTTTATGGTACCCGGGACGGAGCTAGGAATTCTGTTTGGGGGGCGAAATAGGGACGGATTCAGAAATTTTTCCAGTAAAGGTGAGACATTAAAATAAAAGAGTTTAAAAAATAAATAAATAAATTACCTAAGAAATATATGTGTAAATATTATTGGATATGAACAAAAAATAACACATCGAAACTTTATAAAAATATTCATAACAAAATATTCCAGTAAAGACGAAACATTAATAGAGATATTTAAAAAATAAATAAATAAATTACCTAAGAAATATATGTGTAAATATTATTGGATATGAGCGAAAAATAACATATCAAAACTTTATAAAAATATTCATAACAAAATATGAAACATAATTAATTTGATAAAATAACTGTAATAAACTATATTAACAACCATAGGATTCAAACCCCTAACCTTTATTATATATAACCAAACAAATGCTCTACCAACTAATCTAACTCATTCCATATTAACAATCAACAGTTTTTATATACTGGGAATAAGGGTCAAATAGGCCATCGGACTACACACCAAACTGCAATTAGGCCATCCAACTCAAAAAAACAACAATCAGGTCTCTGAATAGCACAAAATCAAGCAATTAACTCTAAAGTGACCTATTCACTAGGTAATTAGATGACATGACAGTTACCAAATTAATTTATATTTTAAAAAATTATTTAAAAAAAAAAAAACAAACCCGGCCACCCTTTTCCCCTCCTCTCCAGCAAGAATATTATTAGAGGCGACAGAATTTTTTACAGTATTCTTAAAGGCCTGCATTTTTCAGTGGTTGTGTGAGTTGAGATTCTAGTCTCCTCCGCCACTTCGCCCGAGCCGGTCACGAGTACGAGGAAAGAGAGGCAGACTAGGGCGAGAATAGGGCCGTAGAGCCCGAGCCAGGATAGGGAGGTGTTGCAGGCGGCCTTGGTGTGGTGAAGCCTTGATTATAGCATATGTATTTGTTGGCGGAAAAGGCGAAAGAAAGGCCTTGAGAAAGCTGGACGCCGCAGACGACGGGGAGGGAGATGAAGTGGTAGAAGAAGGACATGAGGCCGGTAGCGGCGAGGATGAAGAGTGTGGTGGCGATTTAGGCAAGAGTGAGGTGCGGCATTTCGGAGACGGTAACAATGGCGATGGACTTCATGGGCTGGACGGCATGGGGATGTCGAAGATTAGGCCGGTGGCGATGTTGTAGAGGGCGGTGAAGATGAGGGTGGTGCTGACTGCTGAGATCAAGATTGCAGACAAAAGTGGACGCCAACACTATTCAGTCTCTGAGTTTTAAAAGTGTCAATTTAGTACCTTAGTTATGCAATTTTTGTCAATTTTGGTCACTCCGGCCAAATTACCGGCGGAAAATTTTAATTGTTAAAATAATGAGAGTATTTTGATTATTTCACGTCTTTTTTCTTCTTCCCAGACGAGTCCATTCCTTCTTCTCCCGTTTCCGGCGAATGCAATGAACTAGAATGATGGGGAAAGGAGGCTTGATGATATTAAAGATAGGGTTTACAGGGAGAAAGAACGGCGAGAACGGGAGAGAAAGAGATGGACTCACCGGAGAAGAATAAAAGAGGCGTGAAACGCCGAAAGTATCCTCATTATTTTAATTATTAAAATTTTTCGGCGAAATTTGACCGGAGTGATCAAAATTGACAAAAATTGCATAGTTAAGATACTAAATTGACACTTTTAAAAGTCAAGGACTAAAATTAACAAGGCCTCTATATGAGATCTTAATACCAATAGCATGTGTAAAGGTATAGTAGTCAATGTACATTAAGCGTAGTTAGTTTGAACTATAAATTCTTTTTAAATGCTGAATAATATTACTTGAGTTACACTTAGAGATTTGATTCTGTTCTCTGAGATGTTGTGCTGCTGGTTCTGGAGTTGAAAGAATCTGATTATGAGATCTTAATTTCTTTTGAGCATTCCCCTATAATATGTGGCTATGTGCAATATAAACAAAAAACATTATGATACCTGCTGGGCTAGGGGTGGGCACTTCGGTTCGTTTTATCTGAACCGAACTAGTAATAGAAAACCGAATGGTTCGGAATTTTGTAACCCGAAAGGTTTAGTACCGAACCGAACCGAAACCGAACGGTTTGGTAAAAACCGAACTGAACCGAATGCTATATAATTTTTTAATTAATAATAATAATAAATTAATAATAATAATAATAATAATAATAATAATAATAAAGAAATAAATCCAAGTTCCTTGATGCTTGCTCCGCCGTTCAATTCTCATTCTTACTGGTACCGAAACTTAAATTTGTTATTTGATTTCTTTATAGCTTGTTTTCTACATTGCACTTTTGTTGTTTGTCGCAATTGTTCTTTACCTCACAATTATATCTAACTTGAGTTATATTTACAATATTCAGTATTTTCCTTAGTTTCATGTTTTTCTATAAATTTAATGTGCTTTACAGTCATTCTAATTTTGATTTCCAGTGCATTATAATTATTTTCTAGTACTGAAATATATTTCGAGTGCACTAGCAACGACAGATTGTGTCTAAAAATTAACTATACAGTAATTGACACTTGTTCTTTTAATATCAACTATACAGATAGATGATTATTCATCTTATCAATAAAAACATTCCAACTGAATATTTTTATTTGATGTTTCATGTTTGTACTCTTTAAACATTGGATTTGAAGTTTGAACTACGTGATTCATGTTTGTAATGTTTGAACTTTGAACTTTGGATTCTAATTTCTAAGTATGTGATGTTTTGGTAATTAGATTGCTATTAGTATGTGATGTTAGTATTTACTATTTAGTAGTATGTTTAAACTTTGAATTATTATTTTGTTATATGACGTTTATATTTTAGATGTAGATTATGTGAATAGGTATTGTTTAGTAGTATGTTTGAAAAATTATAAAATGTTGAAATTTGATGATTGTAATTCTCGTAAAGTCTTAAATCGAACCGAAGCCCGAACCGAATTAAATCCGAACCGAAACCAAACCGATTGAAACCGAACCGAAGCCGAACCGAACTATAATGTTAAACCGAATGGTTCAACTTTTCTAAAACCGAAAAACCAAAACCAAAACCGAAACTGAAAAAAATCAAACCGAAGACCGAAGTGCCCAGCCCTATGCTGGGCCATGACTTTTAGGAATTTTTATTTTATCATATTACTTACTTTAGATATTAAAAAATTATTACATATTTATTTACAAACTAATAAATAGTTATTTAAAAATTACTAAATAATTTAAATTATTATTCTCAATCTTTGAATTAATTTAAGTAGTTTAATTATTTGGAAGTAAATTGGAAGATTCAGCAAATTACTAAGCTTAATAAATTATTCTATAAATTGTATTTTGCCTTATAAAAAGAGAACCAATTTCAATGAAAGGGAAGCAAAAATTCAATCTCCAAAATGAGTTTGAAAGAGGTTGACTCGTGTATGTTGACTTGGCCTTTACAAGCATAAGTTATGCCAAATTTATAGAGCCACTCGGCTCGGGCTCGGGCTGCTACCATTTGGTCAACTCGGGTTTGGTCGAATCATTGCCCACTCGTACTATTTGGTCAACTCGTGTTCGATCGAATGGCTAACTACTCGCAACACCTCAGGTACCTCGTCTCGTTCTAAGTTTTAATTCATCAGTTTCGAAATTAATTTTGAATTAATTCTAATTTTGAATTATAGAATTAATTCTCAGGTAATGGTCAGCTGTTACAGGGATTACATATTATCAGTTTTAATGTCATTGTTTAATGTTATTAATTTATCTTCCCCTATATAAGTTGTGGTTGAGCAGGTAATTTTTTACAAATAAAAATTTCATATTTTTTCTCTCAAAACCTTGTTCTTCCTTATATATAAGTTGTGGTTGAGTAGGTGATTTTTTATAAGTTATGCCAAAATTATAGAACCACTCGGCTCGGGCTCGGGCTGCTACCATTTGGTCAACTCGGGTTTGGTCGAATCATTGCCCACTCGTACTATTTGGTCAACTCGTGTTCGATCGAATGGCTAACT